CCGTCGAGGGTCCCAGGCTGCCGCTCTGCAGGGCAGCGCCGTACGAAGGGGAAAAGTTGTGTTGTGTACCCGTCCGGCTCGATCTCTTGCTCTGCTTTCTCCGTGCCACCCCCCAGGTCAACACCGAGCGGGTGGAGGTGGAATCCCGCGGTGTCAACCACGTGGAGGGCGGCTGGCCCAAAGACATCAACCCGCAGGAGGTGGAGCAAACCATCCGCTTCAGGAAGAAAGTGGAGAAAGATGAACACTACATCAACACCATCACGCACCTCGGCACCGTAAGGCCCTGCCCGTCCCCCCCTCCTCGCCTCCCGCTCCCAGAGCCCCCTTGCCCGCCCGCTGCCGGTTCCCTCGCCTAGGCAGCTCCCCAGAGGCACGGCCTCTGCCTGTGCTTTCCCCGCAGCTGATGGAGCACTGCGTCAAGCAGAACAACGCCATCAACATCTATGAGGAGTACTTTGGAGAGGAGGAGGTGATAGAGGTGGAAGACGAGCCCCCTTCCGCAAAAACCATCAATGTCATCAGGTAGCACAACCAGCTGGGCTCACCAGGCTGTCCGGATCCACAGCGGGCTACTGCTTATTAAACTGTCTTTGGAGACAAAGGAGGTGGAAAACCTGGTGGCTTTAGGATAGTGCTGGATCAGTTTATGGATGGAGAGACCTGCCGCAGCCCCCCCACTCCATAACTCCATCTGTTCCTCCCCTCCACGCAGCCCAGGCACTTTGGAGATAGGTACCACGGTCCAAGGACAGACGCAGCTCTGAGCAACTTCTAACAGTGCTTTAGACAGGATTTTTTTTTTTTTTTTGGTGCCTCAAAGATTATTTTCAAATGTCAGGGGCTGTTAGGTCATTTCCAGAAGTCAGATCTAGTAACATACTTGGGTTCTTAGAAATGTTTAACTGGAAAGACTTTATTAAATCATCAACTCTTCTCCCCTCGCCCAACCCCCAAAAGAATTGTTTCCTGCACTCAATGCCCAAGGCTGCAGCTTGTTTTAATTGAGATTCCCACAGTTTCCTTTGGGAGACAGTCATCCCAGGGCGTGACAAAGCTGTTAGCAAACTAACATCTTTCTTTAATGTCCTGTTATCAAAAAGGGATCCAAACATAACCAAGAGGACGGCCACGCATCTCTCCTGGCACCCCGACACATGCAAGAAATTGGCAGTGGCTTATTCCAGCCTCGAGTTCCAGCAAAACACAAAAGACATGAGCTTTGACTCGTACATCTGGGATCTTGGTAAGGGGACGGGAAAATTCACCAGTCAGTAATGCTGCGGAAGCACTTTGTGTCTTCAAAGAGTGTAATGAAGCCTCACAGTTCTCCAGAGGGGGTGAAGAAGGGTTCAGTTTCTGCTTTGCCCACAGATCAATGCAGAGAAGGGGAGAAATGGGACCTGAAAGCTAGCTAACAGGTGGAAAGTAACCGCTAAAATGAGCTAGAGCACCTGTGACCACAACAAGCAGCTGAGCCACACTCCTCTTATGTGGTTCCTGTCTTTATATGGTTCATTTGTGCTTGATTAAGAAAGAGGCAGCACAAGCCCAGGCTGACAATTGCCCTGTTCTGTCAAAGACTCTCAGGCCTGTTGTATTTTGGAGTGAAAAACACAAAGAAGAGGGGTTGGGGTACCAGGGGTCTGTCCCCGGGCTGGCAGGTGAGGACAGGTCAGCTCCCTTCCCTGGCTAAGGTGAGGCATCCTGGTGACATGGCCACCTCATCCAGCACGGCTGGGCGAGCACCGGCGTGGCAGGGAGCCAGGCGTGGAGGAGCGGGGTGCGGTATCGGGAGGCTGATTTAGAGGCGGGGGGGG